ATGTGCGAGAGCAGGAGGCCGCGTGGGCCCGAGCACCACGACCGTCGGCTTTCGTCGCAAAGGTGGCTGGTTTGGGATGTGCTGGCGGTGACACGCGAAGCGTACAGACTTGAACACACCCACGCCTCCCTCTCGCCAGTGCGACCAATGGACGGTATGTGCGACCACAGCGAATCATCCATCATTACCACGTGCATGTCACGAATGAACTCAGCATCGCGCCTCGCTCCGAAGACCTCAAGCATCCTATATGTGGGACGTGGGCCGCCGCCATCGCCCGCATCCAGTGCACGGACGGCCTGTGTGCGGTCCCACTCTTCCGATGCCAATCTGAGCTATCCTAACATCGCCGCGCAGGGCGAGCATGGCTTACGACAGTTTCTTCCCCTGCGGGGATATGTAGAGACTTACATGCGCCAAACCTTGGCGCGCCTGGGCGCGGCGGGCGGAGGGCGGCAGGAGCGTCCAAGATACCCCCATATAGCTCCAAGACTTGCGTGGGAATGCACACGACATCACCGTGCCACTTCAATCATGCCCAACGCGGCTCAAGATAGCCCCAAGCCCCAACGGCACGGGCACAGACGATGCCGCGGCACGCAAACGCACGCATAAGGCAACCAACGGTCGCATTGGCACGCGCAACTACACCCACCAACACTCACTATGCATGATGTGCTATTATTGTTGCCCCCCCTTCCCCCCCGCCGACCGCCCCCAAATTATCAAACTGCTGGCCAAGGCGATAACTCTAATTACACAGTGGGCCCCATACCCTCGCAACCTTGGGCCCGACCAGGGGAACTCGTGACCAGGACAACTCGAATGGGCCACGCATGGGCAATCTCATTAGCGAGCCTGGGCGTGTCGCGAAGCGTCACTGATTTGAACATGTACGCACGATGAGGCTCCATGAGGGATCTAATTGCAAAGACGTCTGCGAATGGACAGTCGCACTCCCTCGTGGCCCAAAGGAGCGCTTCTCGCCGATGCCCGTCGGCGGCCGCGCGAGCGGCAGCCACTGGATCAGCAACGCCGCCAGAGCCAATCCCCAATTGCGACTCGCCTGGAAAAAAAAAAAAAAAAAAAAAAAAAAAAAAAAAAAAAAAAAAAAAAAAAAAAAAAAAAAAAATGGGGGACGGAGATGAGGGGGGTGAAGAGGATGGCGGGTTTAGGGAGGCAGCCTGGTGCAGCATAATCACCAGTAGTACCAGCTCGCCTGCAGAACGCCACGAAGGCTTCAGCGAAAATATTGTGAACCGCCAACAAAACACCGATCCAGGACGGCGTGACCTCAGACCCAACCCAATTCCGACTAGGGAACGATTTAGGGCCATCTCCAACAAGCGCTTTCACGAACGTTGTCCGAAACAAGCGCTTGATGTACGCATCTGGCTTGTCAGATGTCGTGAAAAAGTGAACCCGTTCCGTATCATCCCAAGAACCATTGGCCAACGACAATATGACAGTCCTGCGCTTGACCGCACTGGTATCGTGGAGGCCTGGCAACAAACGATACAACACATCTGCGTTCCTGGCAACAACTCTGGGGTGCGGCAGCGTGTCCCTGACAATGTTGAGCCGCCTCATGACGATGTCTCCAACGATCTTGCGGAATTTCAGCATGCAACTGGGGCCCTTGAGTGCCAGCGCTGCGTGCGTGAGGGAGCTGATGAGGCCTGAACGAAGGGAACACGCATCATGTTTCGCAGTCGCTGCCCTGTGGACGTGGCACCTGTTGTGTAAAGCCAACTGCCCAGCATCCAGAACGCTGAAAAACCTCTCAGCCCTGGCGATCGCACCGTCGCCATCCGCGCACACAACCCTCTGCCTGTGCTTGAACAACCTCGACACTCCAGACGTATCCAAGCCACTCGCCTCCACCGCGGCTGCGTAGTTCTCGCCTTTGCCAGCCGTCATAACCTGGATCGGCACGAGCACGTTGAAAGAAACCTCAGTGTATGATCCACCGATCTTGAACAACATAGTGTACAACCATTCTGTGTTCAACAATGGCAATTTTGACACATGAGTTGGTTCTCTGCCGCCGCCCATGTCGATCTGAGCTCTGGAAAGGTCGCGTCGCTCCAACGCGGTTCCAACTACTAGTTCCAAGGATGCGTCGTCGTTGTCAAAACATGCGGCTGTCAGCTTCGTCTCATCAAACCTGCACTGTTGAGAAAACAACATGCACTCGCCACCTGCACTTGTAACCCTCCCAACGCAAGCATTCATCACGCTGATGGCCATTGCTCGTTCTGTCAACATTGCCAGCGCCACAAACCGTGACTTACATCTTGCGAACACCGACCTGCTAACTCCAGCAGCTTGGGCACTGACACTTTCACTCATCATATGGTTCGCCAGTTTGCCACGGATCGCATTGATCGTATATGTTGCCACTTTGTCGAACATACCTGGTCTGTCAGGGTCCTCTCTTATGACGCCAAGCGCAACCAACAATGGGTTATACAGGAGGCTACCGCGACGCTGCCGTTGAACATGCAGGCGGCCCCCTAAACGTTCGCAGTCCTGATCTAAGGCATCAGCTGGCGGCCCGACTGGACCAGCAACAACAATCTGCATCTCATCGGGCACGACGTCGCCAACGGCACCCTCGATGTCGGCTGGCTCGCCGTCGCCTTCAGAGGCGCCCTCGCCGTCGGCTGGCTCGACGTCGCCGCGCGGAGCTGCCAGCGGCGCGGCGACGTCCTTGGCCGCCAGAGCAGCACCAACGGGCCGCCACAGCTCCTGGGCGGTGGCGCGCCGCCGACGCCGCTTAGCCCCCCTGTCCAGCGGAGGCCCGTCCCGCGCGGGCTCCTCGGCGCCGTCCTCGACAGGGCTCAACGAGCCTGCTGCTCCCGCGAGAGCCTCCCAGCCGCCCGCGTCGCCATCCGCGAACGCAGCCCAGCCGCCGCTGGGCGGCGCATCGGCCTCGCTCGGCGATGGGCTGGACGGCCCGACGAAATGCGCCCACCCCTCCAATGGCATGGAGGGGCTGACGCCTGAGCCAAAATGGCTACGGATGTGCCAAAGCAACAGAACCTCTTGGAGAATTTGCAAGGCTTCTAATACCCCCGTTCAATGCAATCAGTCTTCGGAGGCTTCTATTCAATCAATACACGGGCGACTCTATCGTTATCCCACCAGCCTTTTGGCGACAGGTGGCCTAGATGCCTCTTCCCTCTTCCAACAACCCCTCTCCCCATTCAGGGAAGGGTTTATCACTGCTCCCTTCCCCGTCCCACCTGGGCGGGCGAGGGGGCCGCGCGTAGTTAGTTAGAGCGCGCCTTTTCGGACCATGGGAATGCTATTTTTGCCACCCTCACACGGGTCGTGGCCTCCGAGGGGAGGGGCATCGATCGGGGCGCCCCCTCTTTTCACCGACCGCTTCCAAGATGGCCCCAAAAATGCCTTCCACGGCTCGCAAGGGCCCCCAAAGAGAGATTAAGGACCGCTCCAAGAAGCCCAGACATGGCCCCATGACTGCCCCTGAGGCCCCCAAGACTGCCTTAAGAGGGCCCAAAGACAGTGCAAATTGCCTCCAAGACGCCCAAGGTGGCCTCCAATACGGCCAAGATGGCCCCAAGAGAGCCCAAGATGGCCCAATGTCTCCAAGACGGCCCAATATGCACCCAAGACGGCCCAATATAGCCCAAAGATGGCCCAAGACGGCCAGAGACGACCCCGACAGGCCTCCAAAACGGATGTGGCTCACTTTTGGATTGTTGCTCGCTGCTACAGCCCCTTCATCAAGGCAGCTCGCCTGGCGGCTGTTTTGGGGTGGGCTGGTGGGGATACGCGAAGCGTGAAGAGTTGTTTAGCCTCTGTTCAATCTACGCGCGGCTTCTACTCGATTCATCGTGCTGCGAAGCAGCAAAAAGAACGCACAGCATGAGAGAGCTCTGGCCACAAGACGCGTGGATTCACCTGCCTCCAAGACTGTCCATCTACAGCATGAGCTCGGCCACAAGACGACCATGCCCCCCCCTCCCCCCGTCCCCAGTCCAACCCCCTCCTCTATCCCCTGGACTGGCCCACTAAGGGCCCGTGATCCCGATAAATTTGCAGGTGGCGTCTGGATGTCCGTCGCACCCCTCCCTCTGCCAAAGCTAACTGGTCGCGGAGGAGGGCGAGGGCCCTCTTCCTATGTATCAGGCCCTCCGTCGGAAGAGGGGTATAACGACTAGGCAGAGGGCAGGCGATTGCGGGGAAGACAATGAGAAGGGGAGGAGGAGGAGGAGAAGAGCAACATGATGACGTAGAGGAGAGTGAAGAGCAATTTGAAGGAGAAGGTTCGGGTGCCCATTCACAATCGCGCATATACTCGCATCCTGTTAAAAAAAATCAGGCGCCCTCACAACGAACATGGTTCATTTTTTTTTCTATCGGCGGCCCTATCATTTTTCTATGTTTTGTCTATCGCGCTGTTTTCCTGGATTCTATCAACAAAGGGCGCGTGGGCATCACAAGCCTGGCTGCGCTCGGACGCAGAATCTCAAGGGCCAAGACGGAGGTGGCGGCCCCCGACCTGCCGACGCGGAACGAGGTCCAGGCAGCGCTGAAGTCCAGCACTCTGAGCGCCAAGCCGACAAAGGTCACGAAGAACCCGGGTGTGGATTTCTGCCTGGACGGCTCGGCCGCGGCGGGGGCGGCGAGGACGCGGCGCGCCGAGGCCCGCGAGCAGCCGGGGCGGGCGGCGGGCGCGCGTCGCCGGCCCATCAGCGCAGCCACGCGCCTGCTCGCGGGGCCCCCCCCCCGGCGACGGCCCACGGCTGCAGTGCCCAGGCCTGGGCCGCGAGCGGGCTCGAGCCGCGGCGCTCGGCGGCCGGGTCGCTGACCTTCGGCAGCGCGCGGGGCCGCTTGCTGCAGGGGGGCTTCGCGCTGGCCGCTGCGCCGCGGCGCGACCCACGGCGCCCGCAGGCAAAGCATGCGCTCCTGGCCCGGGGCCGCGGGCCACCGCGGGATAACCCCGACGCCACTAGCGACATGCCATGGGCATGGAGGCGCGCCGCGCGGGCCCGCCACGAGCCAGGGCCTGGCGCCCTGGCGGGGCGCGGCCCCGCGGCAGCGCACTGCCCGCGCTCGAGCGGCTCGGCCGGGGCTCGACGGCGACGCGCCGCTGGGCCGTGGGCGACGGCGCGGCGCTGAAGCTCGAGGAGATCGGCGGCCACGCGCTCCGCAGGGACATCCGCGACTCGCACCGGCGGCGGCTCTGGCGCGAGGGCGCGGCCCGCGACGAGGACCTCGAGCACGCGTCCAGCGGCGCGGCCATCCGCGGCCTCCGACGGCGGCTGCTCGCAGCCAAGGCGGGCCCCGAGCAGCGGGCGCGGTGGTCCAGCGCCAACAACGCGGCTCTCGGCGGGCTCTGGCCCGTGGCCCGCCGCGCCGCCCTCGACCCGCCGCCGCGCCGCTGGGGGGCCTGCCCCGCGGGGCGCGGCGGCCGCGGCACGGCGGGGCACATCGCCCGGAGGCGCCGCCCTCGCAGCGGAGCGGCGCGACGCCATCGCGGGCGACGAGGTGCCACAGGCGTTTGCTGACGTGGCCGCGGAGTCCGACAGCGAGGACGCCCGCTACTCGAGGGCCCTCATCCCCGACCTGGCGGCAGCCCTCCCACCGCCGCTGACGACCAAGGAGGTCCAGTGGAGCAGCGGCCACGGCTACGCGGCCCTGGCGGGCGCCAGCATCCTGTGCACCGACGGCTCGGCGATGCGCGGCAAGGCGGGGTCGCCCGAGGTGCGCGCTGGGTGGGGGCTCACGGCGCTGCAGACCCGCGGAGCACCGCGCGGCGCCTGGGGCTGCGCCCCCGCCCACCTGCCGCAGCACGCAGACGCAGGCGAGATCCTGGCCGAGGCCCGCGCTGGGGCCTGCCAGGCGCGGATGGCATCCTCGATCTCAGAACGGACCGCAAGCTGCTCGTAACGGGATTCGCCGCTGGCAGAGCATGGTGCTGTGCGTGGGACCACCCGTACCTGGAGGTGCGGCGCGAATTCTGGCAGGCCGTGGACGACTTCGGCGGCCAGCTGAGCGTGCGGGTCAGCAAAATGAAGGGGCACGCCACGGCCCGCTCGGTCCGCGACGGCCACACCACGATGGACGACTACGAGGGCAACCGCGCCGCGGACGGTTTCGCCAAGACGGGCGCCGAGCTCCACCCCACGTGCGAGGCGGCCGCGAGGCGCATCAAGCTGGCCGACGCGATCGCCGTTGCGACGGTCCGCTGGCTCGGCGAAGCGCTGCAGATGGGGAGCGCCGCCTTCACGGCGGCCGACGGCGCGGACGCGGGCGTGGCGGAGCCGACCTGCTGCGGGCACGGGTGCGGACGGCGGGGCGCCGCGCGCTGCCGCGACGGCGGGACGCACGGCGGTCTCGCTCGCGAGCGGGACGCGCTGGCTCTGCAACACATGCGCTGGCCGTTCGGGCAGCGCGCCCGTCCACGGTGGACCACCTGGGCAGCGGGCAACGGGGCGGAAGCGCAAGGCTCCTGGCCAAGAGGCCGACACGCGGCGCGGCCGCCAGCGGACCTCCGCGAGCGGGGGCCGCCGAGGCGCCGACGGCGCGGGAGCGGCCGCCGCGGGCGCGGTGGCAGCCGCGGTGCTGGCGGCACAGGCCCGCGGAGGTGCCCAACACGACGGCAGCGACGCAGATGAGAGCGGCGAGGCAGCGGGGGCCGAGGCCGCAGGCGACTGCCCGCGATGGTGGAACGTGCACTTCGACGAGTCGCACCACCTCTGGGCGATCGGCGAGGGGCAGCGGCGCCTCGTCTTCTGCGCGGTCTGCGGCTGCTACGCCGACGGGGCGCGCGTGGTCTCGCTCCGCGGCAGGTGCGCGGGGGGCGCCAGCGCCCGCCAGGAAACTGCGTTGAGGAGGATGCGGCAGGGGAGGCACCCCACGCGGGGAGGCGCGGGCGCCGAGCTCGGGGGCGGACGGTCCGAGCCGCTGAGCCGCCCGCGTAGCCGCTCGCGGGGGCGCGGCTCGGAGGCGAGGGGCCCGAGCCGCTGAGCGCTCAGTGCGCTCACCTCCCCCCCTCCCTCGTGGGCCGGTGGGCCCGTGGGTGTGGATGTTAATTTGCAACAGCTGCGCCGAGCTCCGCTCCCAGACCGTTTCGGCCTTACCTTATCATCATCAGCATCATCATCATCATCATCATCATCATCATCATCATCATCATCATCATCATCATCATCATCATCATCATCATCATCATCATCATCATCATCATCATCATCATCATCATCATCATCATCATCATCATCATCATCATCATCATCATCATCATCATCATCATCATCATCATCATCATCATCATCACATCATCATCATCATCATCATCATCATCATCACATCATCACCATCATCATCATCATCATCATCAGCATCATCCTCATCATCATCAACAACATCATCATCCTCATCAGCAGCATTATCATCATCAGCATCATCATCATCACCAGAATCATCATCATCATCACCACCACCACCATCATCATCATCACCATCACCATGACCATCATCATCATCATCAGCATCATCAACATAATGATCATCATCATCATCATCAGCATCATCATCAGCACCATCATCATCATCATCGTCATCATCGTCATCATCGTCAGCATCATCATCATCATCATCGTCATCATCATCATCATCAACATCAACATCAACATCAGCATCATCATCATTAGCATCATCATCATCAGCAGCAGCATCAGCATCAGCATCAGCATCAGCATCATCATAATCAGCATCAGCATCGTCATCATCATCAGCATCATCATCGTCACCCCCACCACCATCATCATCATCATCATCAGCATCATCATCATCATCATCACCACCACCACCACCACCATCATCATCATCATCATCATCACCATCACCACCACCACTTCCACCACCACCACCACCACCATCATCATCATCATCATCATCATCACCATCTTCTTCATCATCATCATCATCATCATCGTCGTCGTCGTCGTCATCGTCATCATCATCATCATCATCATCATCATCATCATCATCATCATAATCATAATCAGCATCATCATCAGCATCATCATCAGCCGCATCATCATCAGCATCATCATCATCACCATCGTCAGCATCATCATCATCATCATCAGCAGCAGCAGCATCAACATCACCATCAGCATCATCAGCATCATCAACAGCATCAGCAGCATAATCATCATCAGCATCATCAGCATCATCATCAACATCATGATCATCATGATCATCATCATAATCATCATCATCACCATCATCATCATCATTCTCATCCTCATCCTCATCCTCATCCTCATCCTCATCATCATCATCAACAGCAGCAGCATCAGCATCAGCATCATCAGCATCATCATCAGCAGCAGCAGCATCATCCCCGCCCGATGATCATCAGCCTCGTCCTCCTCCTCCTCCTTCTCCTCCTCCTCCTCCTCCTCCTCCTCCTCCTCCTCCTCCTCCTCCTCCTCCTCCTCCTCCTCCTCTCCATCCTCCCCAATTCCCCTCCCTCTCCACATATCCCTCTGTCCCGATGATGGCCAATTCTTAGCGACAACGAGCTCCGGACCTCGCCCGTGAGCCGAGACCCCTTGCGCCGCAGACCGCTCCCACGGACTACAGGATGGCCTTAGGTCGGGCGTGTCCCCCTAGAGGCGGATTTTGGACGAAAAATAAAAACCCAAAAACTCCAAAAAATGTTCCAATATATTCGAAAATGGTCAAAAAATGGTCCCCAGACTATGTTTTGACTCTTTAAGGATATTCCTCCTGTAGAGGGACAGGCCCGACTTAAGGCTGGCCTCCGCCTTCCCCCATCCCATCTGAGGGCAGGGGGGGGTCAGGAGCACGCTCAGACCCATCCCACCTTATGGGGGGGCGGCGTGGGAACACTGGGCCTTGGATCACATAGACGGATGTGGACATAGGGGCAAAGACATGGAGAAATATAGAAAGAAAGGACGAGAGAAAGAGAGAAGGATAGATAGAGAGAGAGAGAGGAACACAAAAAACTCGCCCGGAGAAGGCTCACCCCCCCTCCTCAGCGCCTGGCGCCACCTGGAGACAAGTGAAGGGCCCTGAAGCCTTGGAAACACCCAGAGGCTCCTGCGCGCACCCGGACGTTGACTGGAGCCCCCTGAAGGCTCGGCGCGGCCGGTCCCGACGTTCGGATGCGTTTTCTCTGTTGCTTCTTTCTTTGATTGCTCTGAGGGGACCCCCAAATGCTGCGGGACCCCCTGTTGTTGGAGAGGCGAATCGGAAGCCCCAAGGAAACACCGCGCGCCCCTGCGAGTTCCGAGCAGGCCCGTGGAAGCTCCTGGAGTCCTCCTGCGAGCCCATTGTGCCTCTGGGGGAATCCACAAGGCAAAAACGAGGGGCAACCGCAAAGCACGCGCGCGGATGGCTGGCTGGCTGGCTGCTGGATGGAGGTGCGCCGTCAGACGTCCAAACGTAAGCAAGCATAATGACATCTATGACACGTTCAGACGGCGACAGAGGCAGACAAAAGAAACCAGAAAGGAAACCGACAAAGGAAGGGTGGCAGGGCCATCTCTGTGCACCCCCGACGACGGCGGCTCCCCAAAACTAAGCCCGCCCCGGGTGGCCTCGATCTGGATGTCCGCTGACGGCTCAGGTGCGCACTCCAGCGGCTCCTCTGGGAGAGATCAGACGCAAAGAACGAGCAGGGAAAAATCGCAAACGGTTTGGCAAACCTCGACGTCGTCGTCTTCCGTGGGGACGACGAGAGGCCAGGAATTCGCAAATTCGTCCAAGCCTCTTTGTGTTCATTACGTCTACTGTGCACCTACATCCACTGAGCCTTGTACAATCCCTTTTTCTCAGGACCCCCTTCATTGTTTCTACCTCCCGATCCTCCTTCCCCACAGTCACTGTCCTTCTTCCTCAACCCTACACTGGATTCATATCTATAGTGCTCATTTCTATAATTATCATGCCCGTTGTGAGGTCCGGACGGGGCCGCACATGCACACACATGCTGCACAATCGCATACACATGCTGCAAAGTCGCATGCACATGCCCATACAAACGCACCAAGACTTGAACAGCACAGCCGCACATGCGCGCACATGCAGCAGAGTTGGATAGACATGCCGACGAAACATGTGCAAACACCCCGAACGTATGACCGCACATAGACGCACATGCCAAAACATCGGCAACGTACTATGTCCAGACAACCCTTTCAGACAACCCCTCAAAGATTGATGCCATAAGCGTCCCAGCATGTAACTGTGGCCAGCGCTCGGGCAAGAGCACTATCCCCAATCAGGGATGTTGCTGGCGCTCGAACGGCAACACCAACCTTCTCCAAATAACGGACGTGGCAGGCGACAGCTTACCATCTCGAAACATATCCCTATCTTTATGTTTGGCATCACCTTACCTCGGTGCCGACCTTCATGAGTTCGTGAATTTCTGTGGGCACATCCCAAAAAACATGTCATCACCTTGCGCTTGCCGGGCACATGCTGGGTACATGCTGCGCACATGCTGGGCACATGCCGGACACACGCACGCACATGCCAGCGCAAAAGCGGCCGCACATTCACCCACCCAGGGATATAGAAATGAGGGCGCTGTAAACCTGTATTCCCCTTCCTGCCGCGCTGGCTCCTCCTCGTCGCTGTCCTCGGCCTCGACGATCTGCATGCGCCTGAAGCCCTCCGGCGGCTGCGGTGCTGGAGGTGTGGACGACGGCGCCACGTCGTGGGCAGCCCCGCTCGGCGAGATGGTCCCCGTCGTTGCTGCCTTACAACCTGTATCCTTGACGTCTTCCTCCTCTGAATCACTCGCCTCGACAATTTGCATCCGCCGGAAGCCCGGTGGAGGCTCTGAGGACGGCTCGGTAACCTTCGGGGATGACACGCGAAGCTTGGCCTCTATCTTCCGCTTTAGCTCCGCTGCTTCGCCCTCTTTCTGATCGTCCGGCAGTTCCTGGAGGACCTGGTCGACGTCCTTGAGCGCGGCTTCCGCCATGTTCATCTCGTAGCGGGCCATGGCTCGCCTGTACCGCGCCTTGACGTTCTGGCCGTTGATGCCGAGGGCCTTCGAGCAATCGGAGTCTGCCTCTGCCCACTTCTGCAACTTGATTTGTGCAAAAGCGCGGTTCGCGTGCAAGATCGACAGCAGCTCGCTGGGCACGTTGGATACCCTGCCGCTCGATGCGAGCCAGATGCCCTTAGAGAACCATCCGAGAGACTCGTCGAAAGACCCCTTCGCGAAGAGACTGTTCCCCTGCTTCTTGGTCTCCTCAATGCCCTGAATGCTGGCATCAACTCTAATGTCTGGAATGGGCTCTTGTTCCATGGCTTCCTCCGACTCATCTTCGCTTACTTCTTCAATATGTAATCTCTTGAAGCCCGCGTCCATCAGCGGACCAGTTACGCTTGGGCTGGTCGCTGACTCCTTGGGACTCGACTTCTTCTGGTCTGCTGGCTCCTCGTCCGAGTCGTCGTCCTCCACTACCTGCAACCTTCGGAAACCGTCGGCAACCTTAGATGCGGATTCGGAGACCGATGTGGGAGAAGGTGCTTTGGGGGCCTGCCTCTTGCATAGTGCCTCGATGTTCTCTTTCAGCGCTAGTGCATCCCCTGTCTTCTGCGCCTCGGGCAGATCCTTCAGGACTTGCTCGATGTCTTGCAACGCACCCTTGGCCATGCCAAGCTCGTAGCGTGCCATCGCTCTTCTGTACTGCGCCTTCACGTTCTGGCTGTTCAGTGCGAGGGCCTCAGAGCAGTCCGCCTCGGCCTCCTCCCATCTTCGCAATTTCACCAACGCGAACGCCCGGTTGGAGTGCAGGACAGAGCGCTGCTCGCCCGAAGCTACTGGTCCTTGCTCCGTGCCCGCTGCCCATATCGCCTTGGCGAACCACCTGACGGACTCCTCGAAGGCCCCGCTTGCAAATGCCTTGTTTCCCTGGCCCTTCGCCTCCTCCATGCCTCGCAAGCTCCGCTCGACCTTCAGCTCCGGGAAAGGTTCGGGCTGGCCTCGCTCTTGCGCCGGCTCTTCGCCCTCGTCGCTGTCCTCGACCTCGACGATCTGCATGCGCCTGAAGCCCTCCGGCGGCTGCGTTGAAGGTGCTGGAGGTGCGGACGACGGCGAGATGGTCCCCGTGGCAGTTGGGCTGGTCGCTGACTCCTTGGGACTCGACTTCTTCTGGTCTGCTGGCTCCTCGTCCGAGTCGTCGTCCTCCACTACCTGCAACCTTCGGAAACCGTCGGCAACCTTAGATGCGGATTCGGAGACCGATGTGGGAGAAGGTGCTTTGGGGGCCTGCCTCTTGCATAGTGCCTCGATGTTCTCTTTCAGCGCTAGTGCATCCCCTGTCTTCTGCGCCTCGGGCAGATCCTTCAGGACTTGCTCGATGTCTTGCAACGCACCCTTGGCCATGCCAAGCTCGTAGCGTGCCATCGCTCTTCTGTACTGCGCCTTCACGTTCTGGCTGTTCAGTGCGAGGGCCTCAGAGCAGTCCGCCTCGGCCTCCTCCCATCTTCGCAATTTCACCAACGCGAACGCCCGGTTGGAGTGCAGGACAGAGCGCTGCTCGCCCGAAGCTACTGGTCCTTGCTCCGTGCCCGCTGCCCATATCGCCTTGGCGAACCACCTGACGGACTCCTCGAAGGCCCCGCTTGCAAATGCCTTGTTTCCCTGGCCCTTCGCCTCCTCCATGCCTCGCAAGCTCCGCTCGACCTTCAGCTCCGGGAAAGGTTCGGGCTGGCCTCGCTCTTGCGCCGGCTCTTCGCCCTCGTCGCTGTCCTCGACCTCGACGATCTGCATGCGCCTGAAGCCCTCCGGCGGCTGCGTTGAAGGTGCTGGAGGTGCGGACGACGGCGAGATGGTCCCCGTGGCAGTTGGGCTGGTCGCTGACTCCTTGGGACTCGACTTCTTCTGGTCTGCTGGCTCCTCGTCCGAGTCGTCGTCCTCCACTACCTGCAACCTTCGGAAACCGTCGGCGACCTTAGATGCGGATTCGGAGACCGATGTGGGAGAAGGTGCTTTGGGGGCCTGCCTCTTGCATAGTGCCTCGATGTTCTCTTTCAGCGCTAGTGCATCCCCTGTCTTCTGCGCCTCGGGCAGATCCTTCAGGACTTGCTCGATGTCTTGCAACGCACCCTTGGCCATGCCAAGCTCGTAGCGTGCCATCGCTCTTCTGTACTGCGCCTTCACGTTCTGGCTGTTCAGTGCGAGGGCCTCAGAGCAGTCCGCCTCGGCCTCCTCCCATCTTCGCAATTTCACCAACGCGAACGCCCGGTTGGAGTGCAGGACAGAGCGCTGCTCGCCCGAAGCTACTGGTCCTTGCTCCGTGCCCGCTGCCCATATCGCCTTGGCGAACCACCTGACGGACTCCTCGAAGGCCCCGCTTGCAAATGCCTTGTTTCCCTGGCCCTTCGCCTCCTCCATGCCTCGCAAGCTCCGCTCGACCTTCAGCTCCGGGAAAGGTTCGGGCTGGCCTCGCTCTTGCGCCGGCTCTTCGCCCTCGTCGCTGTCCTCGACCTCGACGATCTGCATGCGCCTGAAGCCCTCCGGCGGCTGCGTTGAAGGTGCTGGAGGTGCGGACGACGGCGAGATGGTCCCCGTGGCAGTTGGGCTGGTCGCTGACTCCTTGGGACTCGACTTCTTCTGGTCTGCTGGCTCCTCGTCCGAGTCGTCGTCCTCCACTACCTGCAACCTTCGGAAACCGTCGGCAACCTTAGATGCGGATTTGGAGACCGATGTGGGAGAAGGTGCTTTGGGGGCCTGCCTCTTGCATAGTGCCTCGATGTTCTCTTTCAGCGCTAGTGCATCCCCTGTCTTCTGCGCCTCGGGCAGATCCTTCAGGACTTGCTCGATGTCTTGCAACGCACCCTTGGCCATGCCAAGCTCGTAGCGTGCCATCGCTCTTCTGTACTGCGCCTTCACGTTCTGGCTGTTCAGTGCGAGGGCCTCAGAGCAGTCCGCCTCGGCCTCCTCCCATCTTCGCAATTTCACCAACGCGAACGCCCGGTTGGAGTGCAGGACAGAGCGCTGCTCGCCCGAAGCTACTGGTCCTTGCTCCGTGCCCGCTGCCCATATCGCCTTGGCGAACCACCTGACGGACTCCTCGAAGGCCCCGCTTGCAAATGCCTTGTTTCCCTGGCCCTTCGCCTCCTCCATGCCTCGCAAGCTCCGCTCGACCTTCAGCTCCGGGAAAGGTTCGGGCTGGCCTCGCTCTTGCGCCGGCTCTTCGCCCTCGTCGCTGTCCTCGACCTCGACGATCTGCATGCGCCTGAAGCCCTCCGGCGGCTGCGTTGAAGGTGCTGGAGGTGCGGACGACGGCCCCACGTCGTGGGCAGCCCCGCTCGGCGAGATGGTCCTATTCATTGCTGCCTTACCTCCTGTATCCTTGACGTCTTCCTCCTCTGAATCACTCGCCTCGACAATCTGCATCCGCCGGAAGCCCGGTGGAGGCTCTGAGGACGGCTCGGCAACCTTCGGGGATGACACGCGAAGCTTGGCCTCTATCGTCCGCTTCAACTCCGCTGCTTCGCCCTCTTTCTGATCGTCCGGCAGTTCCTGGAGGACCTGATCGACGTCCTTGAGCGCGGCTTCCGCCATGTTCATCTCGTAGCGGGCCATGGCTCGCCTGTACCGCGCCTTGACGTTCTTGCCGTTGATACTGAGGGCGTTCGAGCAATCGGAGTCTGCCTCTGCCCATTTCTGCAACTTGATCTGTGCAAAAGCGCGGTTCGCGTACAAAATCGACAACAACTCGCTCGGCACATTGGATACCCTGCCGCTCGATGCGAGCCAGATGCCCTTGGAGAACCATCTGAGAGAGTCGTCGAAAGAACCCTTTGCGAAAAGGCTGTTTCCCTGCTTCTTGGTCTCCTCGATGCCCTGTTGGGCTGCTGACATCAATATCCAACGCGACATACCCCCACCGCACGGTCATACTGAAGCGGGCGTGCATGTTTTGCTGGGACGTCTTTGTGATGATCCCGGGGCCCACGAAGAAAGAGTCAAGGTAAACGAACATGGGGAAAACCGGAGAACCCTTTTTCTCAAGACCCGTTTGGCTCATGGTGAGTGGCTGAGATCCAGTTGGATCCCTCTCACTGAATATCGGGCGCCGGATCCTGGGATATCTAGCCATGCTGGAACCATTCGCCATGATTCAGACGCGTGCCCTGGTTGCGCCCCAGAGAACGAGGGGGGGGGGCCTAAACCAACGAACCCCCTCGTTGTGCGCCATGCGGGCCCAGACGGCCCCACGAGACCTACCAGACACACCCAAATGGCCCCAAGAGGGCCCCAAAAAGGCCACAGAAGGGCCCACAGAAGACCCCCACTACAAGGCCAAACATGCCTCCAACATTGTGCCACCGAGGAGGGGATCTACATTTAGGACTCCCTCTTTTTGAGCCATCGGGCCCAAGACGCGACGCGTCTAAGGCGACAAGCAACGAGCGGCACGTCCAAAGCCGCAGGCAAAGTGACACAAGAGGGCAGCAGGTAACCAGCGATACATCGGAAGAAACAAGCAACCAGCAACACGTCGCGCAGGAGGTCTGGCGATCATGTCTGGATGGGCTGGTGGGGATACTTGAAGTCGCGGCCGCCAGCGAAAGCGCATGGGGCGTCCGTAACGAGCGGGCTACGCGCGAGCTTAATTACACAGCGACCGAGCGCGGGATCAGAACCTAACTGGTGGGGATACGCGAAGCGTCAAGAGTCATGCTCTCGCCTCAATGCCGGCTATATTGTTGGCCCGGACGGCCACGACCCTGGATGGCCCAGCTCCCAAACCCTGGCCCAGCCGCGGCTCGCCTGAGACTTCCTCACAAGTGTATTCGGGGACTGTGCTCTCGAGCCCACGCTGGCTGCACTCCTGGCCCAGGCGGTCACGATCCCTTGTAAACGCACATGAAGGTGCACAAGGCCGTGCTCACCCTGTCCTGGCTGCGTCTTTCCCTCATATATAGGGGGCCACATGCGAACCACACCCTCCCCCTCGGAAATCGCGGGGGGTAGGGGTAGGGTTCGCATGTGGTCCCCTATGACAGCGTTTCGCTAGAGGGCCCTCATAGAGGCAAGAAAAACACAAAAGACACACAAAAGCAGGAGAGTCCCACACAGTGGGGACTGGGAACACGAGACCGCCCTGTCTGGCAACCGTGACCGCCCTGTCTGGCAACCCTTTCGCCGGACCTCCTCACAAGAAGAACCGTGACCTCACCTGAAAGCCAGCTACCAAAAGGGTGGCGGGGAGCTCGAGACCGCCCTGGTCTGGCAGCCGCTTCGCCCGAGACTTCCCCACAACTCGTTCGGGAATCGCGCTCTCGCCCGAATCCCCGCTACATGTGTCCAGACGGCCACGGTCCCGCAGGTCGTACAGGCCACACAAGTTCCACCGGTCCCGCAGAAGTCCCACAAGTCGGACAGGTTCCACAAATTCCAACAGGTCCCAAAGGTCTCACGGGTCTTACAGGCCCCGCAGGTCCCACAGGTCCCAGAGGCTCCACGGTGCCACAGGTCCCACAGGTCTCACACATCCACAAATCCCGCAGGTGCCCAACAGGCGCCCCAGGCCCCTCAAGTCCCACGGGCTCCACAGGTCCTGCAGGTCATCCGCCACCGTGCCCCCTGGCACGTTGAAGCGTGCTCGAATGCCAGGTGCTGTCTGGCAGGGTTTCTGTGATCTTCTGCGGGTCCCGCCCCCTCCGCTCGTCGCATCCCCATGCGCGCACCGGCACGGACTCGTTTCGCTGGAGTCTCGCTTCGCCGAGACTCGCTTCGCCTGAATCTCGCTTCGCCGGGGCTTGTTTCGCTGGCGTTCGGTATCCCGGGACGGAACGAAAACAGAAGAGGAACAGTACGAGGAGGAAGAGGAGGAGGAGCAGGGGGAAGAGGAGGAGAAGGAGGAGGAAAGGAGCGAGGTGGGTGCAACAACAGCCTGAACCGCTTGAGCAGGTCAGCACGGGTCGGGTGGGGAGGGCGGACCCCAATAGGCGGGTCGGGTCGGGTCGGGCGGCTGGGACATGAAAGCGTGGGGCATGCACGACCGAGCGCGCGTGAGCCCTGACGGGCGGGTCGGGTCGGGCGGCTGGGCCCTAGCGGGCGGGGCGGGGCGGGGCGGGCGGACCCTAACGAGCGAGCGGGCGGACCCTATCGGGCGTGTCGGGTCGGGCGGGCGGGGCATGAAAGTGTGGTGCATAGTCAAGATGGTACGCGAGAGCCCTAACGGGCGGGGCGGGTCGGGTCGGGCGGGGTCGGGCGGGCGGACCTTAGCTGGCGGGTCGGGTCGGGCGGCAGGACCCTAGCGGGCGCGTCGGGTCGGGCGGGCGGGACAATAAAGTGTGGCGCATACACGAGCGAGCGCGCGGGAACCCCAAGTAACAAGTGATATTCTCAAGGGCACGGTTGCTAAAAATGAGCCCGGAAACGCGCCCAAAACAGAACGGTTCTGGATTTTCCAAAGTGAAGCAACAACTCAACCACGCACTCCCGGAAAAAGGGTTGGACAGATTACATACGGCACCCTTTTTTCCGCAAATAAGTGTGGGAATTCACCAAAACTGGACGGTTTCGTCGGTTTGGCCGGAGACATCCCGCGAAAAATGACCCACGGCACCCCCGCCCGCCCCGAGATGGATCATTTTGGCGGCGCATTTGTCGTAGCCGTGCCCCAAAACATAGAACTCCTGACTAACGGGCGGGCCTGGTCGGGTCGGGCTGGCGGGTCGGGTCGGGCTGGCGGACCCTAACGGGCGGGTCGGGTCGGGTCGGGCGGGCGGACCCTAACGGGCGGGGGATCGGGCGGGCGGGACATTAAAGTGTGGCGCGTAATCGAGATGGCACGCGTGAGGCCTAACGGGCGGGTCGGGTCGGGCGGCAGGACCATAGTGGGCGGGTCGGGTCGGGCGGGCGGGACATTGAACTGCGGCGCGTACACGAGCGACCACGCGACAGCCCTAACGGGAGGGTCGGGTCGGGTCGGGTCGGTCGGGCGGATCCTAACGGGCGGGTCGGGACGGGTCGGGCGGGCGGACCCTATCGGGCGGGTCGGGTCGGGCGGGCGGGACATTGAAGCGTGCAAAATCGAAATGCCACGCGTGAGCCCTAACGGGCGGGGCGGGTCAAGTCGGGTCGGGCGGGCGGACCGTAACGGGCGGTTCGGGTCGGGTCGAGCGGGCGGACCGTAGCGGGCGGGTCGGGTCGGGCGGGCGGGACATGAAACTGTGACGCGTACGCGAGCAAACACGCGAAAACCCTGACGGGCGGGTCCGGTCGGGTCGGGCGGGCGGGCCTTAACGGGCCGGTCGGGTCGGGTCGGGCGGGCGAACCCTAACAGGCGGGTCGGGTCGGGCGGGCGGGACATTGCGGCGCATAATCGAAGGTGCACGCGGAAACCCAAACGGGCGGGTCGGCCTCGGGTCGGGCAGGATAGTGCATATTCGAGATCGCACGCGACAGCCCCAACAAACAAGTCGGGTCGGGTCGGGCGGACCCTAACGGGCGAGTCGGGTCGGGTCGGGCAGGACACTGATCTGTGGCGCGTACACGGGCGACCACGCGAAAGCCCTAACGGGCGAGTCGGGTCGGGTCGGGCGGGCGGACCCTAACGGGCGGGTCGGGTCGGGTCGGGCGGATAGAGACCCTAGCGGACGGGTCGGGCCCGGCGGGCGGGCCATTCAGTTGTGGCGCTGAATCGAGATGACACGCGAGAGCCCTAACTCATCCTCTTCCTTCTCCCTCCCTCCCTCCCTCCCTCCCTCCCTCTTCCTCCTCCTCCTCTTCCTCCCCCTCCTGCTCCTCCTCCTCCTCCTCTCCTCCTCCTCCTCCTCCTCCTCCTCCTCCCTCCCTCCGCCTCCGCCTCCGCCTCCGCCTCCGCCTCCGCCGCCGCCGCCTCCGCCGCCGCCGCCTCCTCCGCCTCCTCCTCCTCCTCCGCCTCCTCCTCCTCCTCCTCCTCCTCCTCCTCCTCCCTCCCCTCCCCCTCCCCCTCCCCCTCCCCCTCGCGTGTGGGTCACTTTACAACCAGAAGCGCACTTTACAACCAGATGGGTCACTTTACAACCAGCTTACAAAATCCGAGAACGGCACTTTACAACCAGGAAGGGCACTTTACAACCAGGCAAGTAAAAACACATATTGGGTGCACGCGGGCATTTCCCTAAAATCTCCGAGGGCAAGCGCAAGGGTGGCTTTGGGCTCTTTGAGGCATGTTGGTTGTGAAGTTGCCCATCGCGCACGAAGAAGCACTGCGCACGCGTTGGCGATACAGCGACCTGGTGCGCTATGGTATGAAGCGTGCTGGTGGGCGGATTAGGGTTTTGATCTGCTCTCTCAGCTCTGTCGGTCAGTTCTGCCATTGTTTGCTCTGCCTTTTTCTGACGGACGAAGGCTAGTCGCGCAGGACATACGAATAAACCACGATCCCGTCCAAAAACTGGAGCTGCATGGCAGCGGGAAGCTGTAGCGGGAGATGCGGTGGTAGCGGGGGCTACAATGGGAATTGCATGGTGTTGGGAAGCTGCGGTGGCAACTGCGGTGGTCGCCAGGCAGCGGTGGGAACTGTGGTGGCAGCTGGGCTGCAATGGGAATTGCGGCGGTAGCGGGGGGTCAGTCGGAATTGTGGAGGCAGCGGGGCTGCAGCGGTAAGTGTGGTGGTAGCAGGCACAAAGGTGGCGGTGATGCGCTGCCACGGTGGCTCAAGCTGCTGCGCTGGCACGGTGGCTGAGGCTGCTGCCCGAGCAGGATACCTGCGTTGCTGCGCTGGCACTGTGGCTGACGCTGGAAGGAACGATCTTCGAAATAGTTGCATGTATTCGGAACGTTGAACCTCGATCTTCCAAGCAGAGGAGCAGCAGGGGGGCAACTGGAGCTGGAGGGCTTAGCCCCTTGCAGAACACCGCGGGGCTTCAGGGGCCAACGTGGCCCAAGAGACCCGCGGTGCCAATGGCCTAGTTCCCTGGGGCGCTGGGCCCTTGTGGAGGCCACTGGGCTCGCTTCCTGTGAGTGACCCCTAAAATGGGCAGCGCGTCGCCCTGAGCCTTCCTACGTACGCTGTCGCCTTATTCCCGTGCGAGCACGGGGCCCTTGTTGAGGCCGCTTGGCCCCTGCTAGCAAGCCCTGTCTTAGTCTGCTGGGCTCAGAGCGCCAGAGCGTCCAGGCGTTCGGGCTCAGAGGCATCGCTGGGGCCTGCTCAGAGCGCCCAGGCGCTCGGGCTCAGAGGCATCGCTGGGGCCTGCGCAGAGCGTCCAGGTCCTCGGGCTCAGAGGCATCGCTGGGGCCTGCGCAGAGCGTCCAGGTCCTCGGGCTCAGAGGCATCGCTGGGGCCTGCGCAAGGCGTTCAGGCGCTCGGGCTCAGAGGCATCGCTGGGGCCTGCGCAGAGAGTTCAGGCGCTCGGGCTCCAGAGCGCCCACGTGCTCTGGAGCACTTTTCAGAGCGTCCGCGCGCCCTGGAGCACTTTTGAGAGCGCCCACTTGCCTGGAGCATTTTTCAGAGCGCCCACTTGCTCTGGGGCATGTTTCAGAGCGCCCACTTGCTCTGGAGTAGTTTGCGGAACGCCCAAACACGCACGGCCACTCTGAGCTGGTTGTAAAGTGGTCCGTTCTGGTTGTAAAGTGGCCCGCTCTGGTTGTAAAGTGGTCCGTTATGGTTGTAAAGTGGGCCGTTCTGGTTGCAAAGTGGACGTTCTTTTTTTTTTTTTTTTTTTTTTTTTAAAAAAAAAAAAAAAAAAAAAAAAAAAAAAACGTTCCAATCCTATGTTGGTTGTAAAGTAACCCATCTGGTTGTAAAGTGGTTGTTCTGGTTGTAAAGAGATCAAATCTCTCTCCCCCTCCCCCTCCCCCCCTCCCCTCCCCCCTCCCCCTCCCCCCTCCTCCTCCTCCCTCCTCCTCCTCCTCCTCTCCTCCTCCTCCTCCTCCTCTTCCTCCTCCTCCCCTCCTCCTCCTCCTCCTCCTCTCCTCCTCCTCCTCCTCCTCCTCCTCCTCCTCCTCCTCCGCCTCCGCCTCCGCCTCCGCCTCCGCCTCCTCCTCCGCCTCCTCCTCCTCCGCCTCCGCCTCCTCCGCCTCCTCCGCCTCCTCCGCCTCCTCCGCCTCCTCCGCCTCCTCCGCCTCCTCCGCCTCCTCCTCCTCCTCCTCCTCCTCCTCCTCCTCCTCCTCCTCCTCCTCCTCCTCCTCCTCCTCCTCCTCCTCCTCCTCCTCCTCCTCCTCCTCCTCCCCTCGGATGGGGTCGAGGGCCCTCGCGCCCACAGATTTCGAACCTCAATCTGCCACAGGTCTGGGAAAAGGGCGGCCTCCGAATCTCGCACCCTACCACATTCGGCTTCAAAGGCGCCCAGGACGGCACACGACCCCCCCAAGGTCGCTCCAATGACGGCCCAAGGTTCCCGACCAAGACGCACCCACGGCTGCCCCAATAGAGGCCCGATGCGGGGGAAACGGAACAAGATTTGGAGCCCCCCACCCCGAATTGCCAGCTCCCCGCCTGCACGCTGCAAGCCACTCGGAGCTCTGGGGAAGGCTCCTGCTCAGGAGCCTCATCCGACTCGTCGTCACTGACCTCCACGACCTGCAGGCGCCTGAAGCCCGAGTCCTGCGGCGGCTCGCTGGCTCCTGGGCCAGTCTCCGAGGCCTTGGGCAGCCGCCCGGGAGGCCCGAGCGCCAGGGGAGCCCAGGAACACCCGGGCAGACCCCAGCCAAACCAGACACCAGCGTGAACGAAAGAAGACACGCTCTTCAAGTCACCTCCCTCCACCTCCCTCCTCCCTCCTCCCCCTCCCTCCTCCCCCCCTCCCCTCCCCCTCCCTCCTCCCTCCTCCCGCCTCCCTCCTCCTTCCTCCCTCCTCCTCCTCCTCCTCCTCCTCCCCTCCCCCTCCTCCTCCTCCTCCCCTCCCCCTCCCCCTCCCTCCTCCTCCTCCTCCTCCTCCTCCTCCTCCTCCTCCTCCTCCTCCTCCTCCTCCTCGTTTTCGACCGCCCTGGGGACAGGGGAGGGACCTGGGAACTTGAGCGGCAGAGCAGCAGTAAGAAGGTCCGATTCCTCCAGGCCCCGCTGTCCCAATGCCGACGAGAGCTGCCAATATGATTCGGAGGTGGCCAAGAGGGGGGTGTCCAAGAGGGGGGAGCGCAAATCAAGGCCGGCGGCATGTGCGCGGCCAAGGGGTGGAGGGGGGGGGCAGGGACGCAGTGAAATAAGAAGAGGCGCCATGCCATCTGGGGAGCTATCATGGCCACCGTCATGAGATCCCCCCCCTGGTCGCCATCCCCCTCTTTGCCGCCCCAGCCCCTGGCCATCACCGCTCCTAGTCATCACCCCCCCTAGTCTTAGATCGGGCATGTCCTCCTACAGGCGCATTTTGGACGAAACAACAATTAAAACATACTCAAAAATAGGCAGGCATACTCGACAAATCGTCCCCCGACTTTTTTTGTTAACTATGTTTGAATATTCCTCCTGTGGAGGGACGTGCCCGACTTAACCCTAGTCATCACCCCCCCAATATAGTATGCTCTTCGCCCAGCCAGGGCCGGCTCGACTGCTCCTGGGTCCCCGCTTGCCCTCGGGACGGGCGCGCGGCCGTGCGGCGCCTGGAGCTTCGCACGGATCTGGTCCTTCAGCTCCATGGCCTCCTTGCCGCTTTGCGGGTCCGGCAGGTCCTTCATGACGTCGTCGACGTCTTGAAGGGCCACCTGTCAGGGGCCCCCCACACCAGGTCTCTTGCTCTCCTCCCCTCCGTTAGGGGGCCAGATGCGAACCCTACCCCTACCCCCCACGATTTCTGAGGGGGCGGGGGGGGTTCACTTCGCTCTGGAGCGCCCGAGCAAAGTGACCCCCCCCTTCCCCTCAGAAATCGTGGGGGGTAGGGGTAGGGTTCGCATCTGGCCCCCTATCCGTGCTATCCGCTCCAGCTCGCCCCCCCACTTCCGAAGCAGCTTGTCCGCAGAGGTCTTAGAACACGTGCCGAGGCACGTGTGAGCGAACCCGGATCTGGAGCGGGTGGCTCGCGGCCCAGACGGTCTCTGGAATGGTCTCCCGTACATGAGTGGGTTCTATCACGGCATCCCTTGGAGGACTCTCTGAAGACCTCTCTGTGCTGCTCTCTTCGCTGTCTGCAGCCGGCCCTGTAGTGATCTCTTCGGCTGTCTGGGGCCTTCTGCCGGCGAGGGGGTCATCCGCCTCCTCCGATCCTGGCCCCCCATCCACCTCGCGCTCTCCCTCGACCCCTGGGGTCGCCACCCTCCTGGAGGAACGGGGGAGGATCGGGCGTGGGCAAGCGTTGCGTTGCGGGCCGGGCGCCTGGAACTTCCCGAGCTCGAAGCGTGCCCTTGCCCGGCGGTACCTGGCCTTGAAGTTTGCGCTATTCAGCGCCAGCGCCCGCGAGCAGTCGGCCTCCGCCTCGGCCCACCTGGTCGCTGCAATGTGCGCCAGTGCGCGGTTGCCGTGGAGGATGGAAAGCTGGTCGCTGGGCACGTCGGCTACCCGCTTGGAGTCCACAAGCCATATGCACTTGGTGAACCACCTGATCGACTCCTCCAGCTGGCCCTGCGCGAACAGGCTATTCGCCTTCTGCTTGGCCTTGTCGACGCCCTGCCTGCTGGCCTCAAGGGGGCCGACAACAGAGCTGCAGCTGGGGAACGAGGGCCGCCGACCATCAAGCGAACAGTTGGCGGCCAACAGTCGAAACTCAAGCAAAAACATCTGCCACCCAGCCATTATTCCGTCCACACTGTGAGACGCTGAAGATGGCACTATACACAAAACCCGAGCTGTACCCGCCCGTGGTATGACAACCGAACCCAACCACACAATCCGACCAGCGACGCCAAAAGAGTGCCTCCCAGCCAAGGTCCGCCTATTCGCCACCCGTGGCGCCTGGAGGGGGGGCGCGCCTCCCTGGAGGGGGGGTTCGGGCGGGGGGGGGGTGGGGGAGGAGGAGGAGGAGGAGGAGGAGGAGGAGGAGGAGGAGGAGGAGGAGGAGGAGGGTGCAGGAGGAGGAGGACGAGGGTGCAGGAGGAGGAGGAGGAGGAGGAGGAGGAGGAAAGAGTGCCTCCCAGCCAAGGTCTCCTGGGCCCGTGCTGCACAGTGTCGCAGGCCACCCGTGGCGACGGAGCACCCCCTCAGGTCCAGAGCAGCGCAGTTAGCCAGCCTCGAACGTATCCCTAGCCCTAAGATTAACGAGCCCAAAGTCGACGACAATCTTAGGGATGCGCCCCAAGAAACGGAGGGAATCCCCAAGATCGGCATCGAGATGAGGCGATGCAAGTCATAGGGATAGGGATATGTTCCAGGCTGGTGAGCAGTGCCCCCTGATGATGAGGCAGGATCCCAATGACTCTCTTGCAAGCCAGTGGTCGCTCGTGAATCCCGCGATGGGGGTAGTCCTGCAATTCTTGAGGGCCGGCGGGGCAACAACTTCTTGGAGGCCGCCCGCAGCAGGGCATCGTAGTTTCGTGCCTGGGCGCACGCTCCTTGCGTGCGAAACGGTGCGTGAGTTTACCAGATCGTCAGGGGCGAAACGGACGGAACGCGCCTGTGTCCGCCAAGGGCGGGGCCTCCAAGGCCAGCGCGGGTGGGCCTAAGCCCTCAGGCATAGTGGTCGAAGCCGGCGTGGGGAGATCGGGAGGGGGTGCGACAGGGAAAGCACGCGCGACCCAGCGTCGGGTCGCTGGGGACGACGAGATCGGGACACATGTTTTCCCTGGTTGCTTCCTGGCGGGCGGGACCTGTCGGGTGTGGCGGGGTCGTGCTGTGCAAAGTGTGCGAATAAAGCGAATAAAGGAACAAGTTACCACCGTAATCCCAACAGCCCTTCAGGGCGTGAGTGGTTTTGAAAGTGTTTGTTTCCAACCCCCTTTTCCACTTTCGGGAAGGAGTTTGATCACTGTTCCCTATTATAGACATCCCCTCCCCGAGGAGACGGGCAGCCAGCCAGGACCAATGTGGACCCCCCCCCCTCCACACCAGCCCTGCCCAAAAACAATGCGAAGTCCATTTTTGCCGAAATATTCGGTTGTGATCGGGTGAGACGCCAGGACCCCGCATTGATTTTGTTGACAGGGACGGCGGGGGTGCCCGCATATCGCTTGCTGCGCTCAGGTCCAGCAACTCTGTTAAAAATAATACAACATGCACTTCGACGCAAAATCTAGACCATGCGCGGCCACCCCGCGATCACTGTGCATTGGTTTTTGACTGGGACGTCGGGGGTGCTGGCATATTGCCTTCTGTGTGCAGGCCCACCAGACCATGATGGCCACTCCGCCGCGATGGCACACTCGTTCTCGACAAGGGTAGTGGGGGCCGACACGTTTACCGATGTGCACTGCCACGTGCGCAGCCGCACCTGGCACACACTGCTCGTGCCCAGAACGTGGCGCACCTGGCGCGGCTGGAGCATGCAGCACACATAGCGCACGTGGATCACGTGGCACATCTGGCACACCTGGCGTGCCTGGCACGCTTGGGCCACAGCGGTGCCTGGCGCACCTGACGCAGGTGGCGCGCCCGGCACGCGTGTCGCACCTCGCCCCAGCATTGCGCACATGGGGTCTGTTTTGGTTCCCTGTAGCTGCCCAAACATGCTGAGGCGCAGGTGCTACTTCTGTCTGGGGAGGGCGGGCGGGAGTGAGCCAGACAGCTTGCGGGCGGGGAGGGTCTTGACTGGACGAGCGCGTTCCACTACTCGCAAAATGACTACTCGCAAATGGCCTGGATCCGCCACGGGGGATTTCTGACCCCTTACATGTAAAAAGACATGTTTGGGGGGGCCGGTTGCGAGTAGGCACTTTGCGTGTAGTGGAACGCGCTCGGCGATTGACCTCACCCCTTACCCCTGGTCTTGACGGGGTAGGTCGCGGGTCGCTGGAGCGTCCATGATGGCCTCGGCGGTGAAGCCCAACTCATGGATTTTAATAAGGTTGTGGCCGCAGGTTGGCCTCCTGGGGAGGCAGCGCGAATCGAGGATCTCCCCTCCTTTGACCGATCTCCTCCAAAATGGCCCCAAAATGCCCCCCCGAGGCTACCAAGGGTGCCCCAAGTCGGCCCCAAGCGGTGCCCAAGAGCCCCCAAGAGGCACCCAAGAGGCCCCCAAGATGCCCCAATATTGATGTTACCAAGGTTTTGGCCACATGTTGGCCTCCTGGGGGGGGGCAGATGCACGAGCCACCCTCCTTTGATCGATCTCCTCCAAGATGGCCCCAAGGTGGCCCCCGAAGCTCCAGAGAGCGCATCAAGAGGGCCCCAAAAGGTGCTCAAGAGGCCCCAAGAGGCCTCAAGAGGCTTCTGAAATGCCCCCAAGAGGCTCCCAAAGGCCCCCAAGAGACCCCCAAGAGGCCCAAAAACGCCGCCCAGAGGAACCCAAGACGCCCCAAGAGGCATCGGCGAGAAAACCAAACTCATTGATTGTACTAAGGCATTGGCCACATTTTGGCCTGCTGGGGGGGGGGCTAAGTAAGGCCCTCACCCTCCTTTTGATCGATCTCCTCCAAGATGGTCCCAAATGTTCCCTGGGACGGCCCCAAGAGGTGCCAGCCCCGAGAGGCCACCAATAGGCCACCCAGATGCCCCCGAGAGGCTCCCAAGAAGCCACCCAGAAGCACCCGAGACGCTCCAAGAGGCCCCAGGGACTGCCAAGGGACCCCCAAGACGCCTTAAGAGGAGAGGACCCCAAGAGGATATCGAAAGACATTCGAAGAGACTCCGAGAGGCGTCAAAGAGGCCTATGAACGTTCTGCTCGCCCTCCTCCTCCTCCTGCTGCTTCCAACGGCGCTCGAGACACGAAGCCGAACTATCCACCCATGCATCGGTGGTAAGAGGAGAGGACCCCAAGAGGATATCGAAAGACATTCGAAGAGACTCCGAGAGGCGTCAAAGAGGCCTATGAACGTTCTGCTCGCCCTCCTCCTCCTCCTGCTGCTTCCAACGGCGCTCGAGACACGAAGCCGAACTATCCACCCATGCATCGGTGGTACGAACGAGAGAGAAAGAGAGCGAAAGTTCCCCCCACCGCCCCCCCCTCCTCCTCCTCCTCCTCCTCCTCCTCCTCCTCCTCCTCCTCTCATCATCATCATCATCATCATCATCATCATCATCATCATCATCAGCATCAGCATCAGCATCATCATCAATCATCATCATCATCATCATCATCATCATCATCATCATCATCATCATCATCATCATCATCATCATCATCATCATCATCATCATCATCATCATCATCATCATCATCATCATCATCATCATCATCATCATCATCATCATCATCATCATCATCATCATCATCATCATCATCATCATCATCATCATCATCATCATCATCATCATCATCATCATCATCATCATCATCATCATCATCATCATCATCATCATCATCATCATCATCATCATCATCATCATCATCATTCCTCCTTCCTCCTTCCTCCCCCCTCCTCCTCCTCTTCCTGCTCCTCCTCCTCCTGCTCCTGCTCCTCCTCCGATTCCTCATTCCTCCCCCTCTTCGGAAACGACGTTACCCAGTCCTCTCTTCCAATGCATGTTCCTCCACATTCCTTCTCGGGGCAGCTCGTCTGGGCATCGTTTCAAGATGGGCTGGTGGGGTTACGCGAAGCGTCTGAGGTTCCCTGTTGCGGGAGCACCTGCAGACGTTCCGCACAAGGAGAAGAGAGCGGTAAGGATCCGCCACCGTGCCTCCCACGGCACGTTGAGGCGTGGCAGAATGCCGAGGGCTGCCTGGTAAGTTTTCTGTAATCGTCTAAGAGACCGTTTTTGGGAATCGGCGAGAACCCGGGTTATCCCGGGGGGAAGGAAGAGGAGGAGGAGGAGGAGGAGGAGGAGGAGGAGGAGGAGGAGGAGGAGGAGGAGGAGGAGGAGGAGGAGGAGGGGGCCGGCCGTTAACCTAACCCTCGCGCTGTGGGCAGCCCTGCGTATGCCCGCGCCGCCCCTCCCGCGGACCTGCACAACCCGCAAGGTTAGGTTATCCTTGGGGGTGTGAAGGGGAGCAAGCCCGATAACCCACGCTATCGCCCGACCCTAAAAAAAACAGTCTTTGAGGCGGCCACCACCACCCTGTCGACGCTCCCACGCCACGGGCGTGCATCCCCTCCGCTCCTTCGAGCAACCATTGCTCCGCGCTCCCGAGGCCACGCATCCACAGCAGAGACAACGGGTCCGCGCTCCCCCGGGGCCAGGATCCCTCGGTCCACACAACACGGCCCGCGCTCCCGAGCCTCCAAGCCAGGACGTCCCAACGTGCCACCAAGGCGTCTCCAAGATGTCCCAACATGCCTCCAGTGGCCGAGGCAGGCCAGGATGTCCCAATAGCAGGCGACCAATGCCCCCAGGAGGTCCCAATCTGCCACCAGGACGGCTCAAGATCGGCCCGAGGCGGCCCGAGAGGACCTCGAGATGTTCCGAGTGCCGCCCACTGCGGCTCCAGAGGGCCACAGGAGGACCCCCAGGAGAGCCAGCGGCAGGGCCTGAAGAAGTCCAGCTCACAGACTCGAGGCAGGTTCTTGAAAGATCTGGGTGAAGCTTTGGGTGTCTTCACGTTTTCGGGCCTCCTTCAGCTCCAGACGGACCTGAGGCCTCCGAGATGGCC